TCAACCGCACTGACATCTCAAAAATAAACTTTTACTTTTTAAACTGTGTCAGTGAAAGCTCAGTCTGACTCACCACATGCAGACTGTAGGTACAAGTCGGCCACTTCCGCTGTGCATTTCATGTGGTATTCTCTCCCCTTCTGCTGTCTGCAACACTTACATGTTGAAAATGGCAAGTTTAAAAGAAGATTTGGATCGTGCAATAAGGCAGGCCTGCTCGGTTCTTGCCATTTTAATAATGGTGCTTTCGTTCCTGCATACAAATGTCCCACAGAACACGTTCTCCTGACCCTACTTTGCAGTGACACCATCGCTGCAGCCTGAGCTTAGCCCCGCCCCATGTGATTGTGTTGGTTTAAAAACATACAAACAACCAGAGATGTTGTTACCTTAATGGCAGAATGATAATTGTGCAGCTACTCAAGACTGCCTCAGACTGGTGGAGCTTTTCCTGAGCTCTTCTATTATATATCATTAGATCTGTATTTAATCATCTATGTATATCAGTTATCCTGCAGGGAAATTTATGTTTACGTTGCAAATAATACGATTTAAAAAAAATCTAAAATAGATTTATGTAAATTTAAAAAAATAGAACAAAGCACACAAACATTCTATCCGGTGCTCACACATCAGCTGATAAGACCTGATGGTGCCTTTAGCAGATGAGTCCTCTTCATGTTTGCCTTTGTGTCTGTGATCCAGGTGGGACTCCTGTTTGACAGACTGGCCCAGTTCCTGGCCAAGCTGAAGTTCACGCTGACCGTGTTGGTGACGTCGTGGACAGAAAAGAAGCAGCGCCGTCAGTCGGCTGGAACTCTCCTGGCTCTCAATGCCTCCCTGTGCCCGCTGTTGCTGGCGGTGGTGACCCTCTCTGCCCTGCTCTCTGCCCCTTTGCTGCCCCTCTTCACGCTGCCCATCTTCCTCGTGGGGTTTCCCAGGCCTCAGCGAAGTTGGCCAGGACCCGTGGGCACAGCCTGTCCCTGCCCAGACTCCATCTTCTACCAGCAAATGAGTGGAAGTCTGGCCTCTGCGCTGAGGACGGCCTTCGCAAGAGGGTCACTGGGTTAGTTTTTTATGTCTGATATCGTTTCAGTGTTTTTTTTTTTTTTAAGTAAAAGGTGTTTCTATAAATCTATACAATCTGTGTAGCACTGAGATGGCATGTAACTAAACTTTTCATCTAAATAAGACTGCCAGTAGGTAATCAGGTGACATATTTAAATTAATTGTAGGTCCCTCAGTGTCAGTTAAAGGTAGATTTTCCCCTTCAGCTACAGCATACACAACCTTCCTTTGATTTTGCAGTGCACCAGATCATATATACCAGTCAACAGAACTGATGGAGTATCCAAAACTATTCCTTTTGTTTTGACTTGTGCTGTAATTGCAGTGACTGAACTTTCACAAGGGTCAAGTAGGGACCGTATGCAGATCAAAGACCACTGAAGCATCACCTCATACGGTTAAAAAAAAAAAAACTCAGAGTGCTGCCGCTTTTGTGAGCAGCCTTTTTGGAGTACTGGCAGTAATGTGAGCTTACGTGATCCAGTTGAGCTTCCTGTGAAGTGACCCAAAAAAAAAAAAAAAAAGCTCTGATCTGTATTCATTACATCCAAATGTTTCCACAACATTAACTCCATAATACTCGTCGGCTGAAGCGAGCTGCTGCTGCTGCAATTTTGTTCTCTGCTTGATCCGGGAGGGGACAAGAGAAAAAAACAGTGGAGTCGTATTTATGGAGCGATTATTTAACAACACTGAGGTGATATAATCAGTCTTATTGTGAGCTTCGGATGCCGTACCTATGATGTATAATTCAGCGCTTGTTACGTCGACGCTCGCGGTCAAACGGCGGCGGTTTGTAGTGTTCCTTTGCTGTGCTCACACTGGGGGCTGTGGAGCAGTGAGCAGGAAAGGAATCTGACCAGTGTGTCACTTCACATCATGAGGTAGCGGCTGGGACTATTCTGAGACGTCGTTATGGGACATGACATTATCCTTGAGCCAGGCGGGCGCTCGGCAACTTAAAACAAAAGCCTCCTTCACCTTGCCACCGCCGTTCATCTGAGCTGAAATCAACGTCTGTCTTCTGTCTTCAGAAATGAAAAGCCAGCATTGTACAAAAAGAAGAAGAAGCTTTAGAGGCTAATGGAAAGCTAAGAGGTTTAGTATTTAGATCCCTGTGCAGTCATCCAGCTAAAGCAGTATCATAACCTTCCTGTACTATTGTGATGGTATGTGTCTCCAAGCAGCTCATCCAGTGGTCGTGTTATCCACATAGTCAGTAGAGGGACGCTCAGCTGATGAAAAATGAAAGGGGTGTGCACTGAGAGTCCCACATGTGTTGATGTATGTGATGTGTGTCACCCTCTCTTGCCCTCAGTTTACATCTTACATGTAAGATTCATGGATGACTCACGATCTCCTCTCCATCTGTAGGTTCTTTAGCCCCGGGCTCTCATTTTCTTGGCCGCTTTCAGGACCGTATGGTTTGGATCATGATCCTGGAGAGAGGATACGGCTACTGCACAGTCAACATTAAGGTACGACATCTTTTTGTTTGTTTGATTCGAATCACCCATTGCAACATGACTATGTAGAGCGCTGTGATGTGTTACAGGGCCTGGAGCTGCAGGAGACGTCTTGCCACACGGTGGAGGCACGCCGAGTGGACGAGGTGTTCGAGGCTGCGTTCGAGCGCCCCGAGAGGCTCGGCTTCACACAGGGTTTTAACCTGCACTGGGGAAATGCCCTCACCCCTTGTGCAGCACTCGCAGTACGAGTCTACTCCGATGCCCGGAATGTGCTCTCTGGTATTATTGACTCACACGACAACTTGAGGAAGCTTCAGGATGACTTCATGAAGGCACTCATCTGGCTGCTTCTCCGCTACTGTGTGCAGAAGCATAAAGGATTTCTGTGGTGCAGCGATGAAGGGTCAGGAGTCGGAGGCATGAAGTCCCAGTCCTCACAGTTGGCCCAGACTACTTGTAATCAACCACCTGAAGCTGTGGTGGTGGAATCCAACGTGTCTTCTCTCAGGTTCAGACATGACAGCTCCAGTTTGACCTCCTTCGGTGACTGGTCAGATGAGGACGACTTATTCGGACCTCAGCCAGCCAGACGGACGGTAGCATTAGTGACTGCAGAAGCCCAGTCTGGACACACAGCTCTGCAGACGGGGGCCTCTCTGCCGGGCTCTGTGGAGATGGATAGTCTTTTTGAAAACATGGCTCTCTCTGCCCTACAGCCACTGCAGCCTCTGGGACTGGGCATTGGGATGCCAGCTGTGGATAAAGGCCGTAGCGCAGAGTTTCTCAGAGAGAGCCCTGGCTCTCTCCCTCATCTGAACTTCAGCTGCCCTCAGTCGGAGGTTTTCAACCTCCCGACAGGGTGGAGGACAGCCCCATTACTACCATCCCGCCTGATGTCGCTCAGGCCTTTATTTCCTGAGGACTGGTTTCGGTTTACCCTGGGCCGCTTTGGGCCTGCTGTGCAGGGCGACACCTCAGAGGACATGACCAAAGCCTTGAAGGAGGATGAAGCCTTGAAAGAACTGCATGTTCAGGTTGCACTTTCATGTCTCATCTCGCTGGGGGCAGAGTCTGCCTTCACCAGTCCTAGTTATGTCTACAGGCTCTACTGTGGAGACGTCCCGTGGACAGAAGGACTCGACTGGCTGTCCTCGAGGAAAGAACTTTACCAGCTCGCACTTCGGGCTTTCAGGTAAAACTGACTCTAGATTTTGACTTTTCCATGATCAGTAGAGTTTATTTGTGCCAGAAGACCCTGAGAATTCTGCCTCTGTGTATTTGTTTACCTCAGGTTCAGTTTCAAGCTGTTGTTTGATCAAGCGAGCCTGGGCCCGATGGAGTCCTCTGAGGAGTTGTTCAGCACTTTGGAGGAATATGAAAGGGACTGGTTCATCGGTCTGGTGACAGAAAAAGGTTGGCATGACAGTGTCCTTCAGGAGAAACCCTTCCTGTTCTCTCTAGGACATGACCTCACTATGGTAACCAAACAACCCATTGCTTCTTACATTCTTATTCAGTCCTTCAGCGTACTCAGAATTGCAGATTAGAGTTCAGATTTGTTAGTTTCCAATGAAGTGTAACCTTCTGACTGTCCCTGTCTGTAGGGTACCTACACAGGGCGAGTCCTGTCCCTGCAGGAGCAGCTGGTACAGGTGGGCCGTCTGAATGGAGAGGGGGTGCGAGGCCAGTGGGCCAACCTCTCCTGGGAGCTGCTGTACGCTACCAACGACGACGAGGAGCGGTACAGTATCCAGGCTCATCCCTTCATGCTAAGAAACCTAACTGTCCAGGCAGCCGATCCCCCTCTAGGATACCCCATTTATTCATCTGCCCCTCTTCATTTCCCCAGCCTCTGACCTGTGGCTCCACCTGCCCTCCTTACATCCATGTGGGGGAAGGAGGGACATGTCGGTACTACCACAGCAAAACATCAAGTTTTCAATCGTTTTAGGAAATTAATGTGGAAACGACAGAAAAAAAAGAAAAATTGAATTTGAACATTTGATTCTTGAAAAGAAGTTGATAGATTTCCACCAAAGCACACGTTTTATGGTTTGTTTTTTAAATGTTTGTGCTTAAAAAAAAAAAAAAAAGTGAATAAATTTCGCCACCTCCCCTCCTGGAGACACCTAAAGAATACCTCTGGTTTCATTGTCCTTTTCAGTTTTCACACTTGATGTGATTTCTCCCTCCATGTCCGCAGAAAAGGGACAGAATTTTACTGTTTTGTTAAAGATATCGAGGATGTGCCTTGGGTATGTCTTGCTGTATGTGTATGGTGTTTCGTGCTATTGTTTTGTTTACAGTTCACTTGTTTACAATTTAGAAACTTAAATGAGTTTGTCCACAGTTTCTTGTACATATTGTTGATTTTTTTTTAAAAGTGTAACTGTATATACTTATAATAAAATAGGTTGGCAAAAGAAATTTTGTCATGTTTCATTAAACAAAGCTGTCGGGGAAGAAAGCTGATCTAAACTTTTATTAGTCATTCAAAAGGTCAGTGCAGGTGCATAATGATTCCCACATGAAGCGCTGGGGCCTTGGGTTATGCATGTAAAAGGTAATTTATCAGAAATTGAACATTTGTTAGAAAAAATAAGATCTAATTTACATTTGAGATGGAACGAGAGCGCTGAGATCTCAAAGCAGTTAAATCTTTTCTCCTAGACGTCGGCAGAAATCATGCCTGAAAAAGTCCAACATTTGGAATGTCGTCGGTGTTTCTCCTTGAGAACATTCAGGAGGTCTTCGGTTTAGTGAAGTATGCAGAGTCGGCATCCTGCAAAAGAAAAGGCTCGTCGTCAGCACTGATTTTGTACTCTCGTAAATGAAATCAACATTTTTTTCTATTCAAGGATGAAAACTGTCTGAATGTACGTCGGGTTGAGATTTTGTAAATCCTGAGCGTGACCCCGACGTCGCTTCACCAGCAGTGACTTCGCCGTTAATGAACACTGCTTTGATTCTGAAAGGTTTTTGTGTGTTACAAGGATACGCCACAGAGCCTTCTGAAGCACAAGCACGTGACGCCACAATGGCCGGCCGCTTGGAACATGACCTTTCTGCATGGCCCTCAGCTGTCACTGTCCAGCAGAGGCCACCAGACACTGGTCAGTCAGCCAGTCAGCACTGCAGGGAAACAGTCATGCTCACTGTCAAACCCCAGCCACCGCCTTCTCCTTATTAGACTCAAGCAAGGTCAGAAGCAGCTGAGGCCCCCCCAGCTGTTAAGAGACAGCTCTGCACAGCGTCTGCCTCCCTCGACTTCATGCGAGTCTTTTCAGTGTGTTCGCGCAGCGAGAATTCCCCGATCCCAGGTCTAACGCAGCAAGGTCAGCGCTGAAGAATACAGCAGCAAGGCTAATCTTACAGAAAAAAAAACAAACAGGTCTCGTGAAAAGGAAGCACTTTCGGATGTGAAGTGAAATGCAGCTGTTATTAATACACCTGTACTTTTCCTGCTGCGACGAGACAAAACATCCGCTGCAGCAAAACACCTGTTGACTTAAAATAAAACATGTTAAGACGAGACACAGTCGAGCTGTAAAACTCTAGACTAACTAATTTAAGTTAAACCTAAATGGAACACAGTCATTTTTAATGTCATTATTTTATACCAAATTTTAGGCCAAAATGTCTGCTGTAAATAAATAATAACAAAAAAGAGGGTCTACAGTACTGTGCTGTTGGTAATAACAAGTGCTCCTCTGCTGGGCAAGGAAGCTGCCTGACGTGTATATGACCAATACATATATGACCACTGTGTTAGAGCACAGAACAGAGAATAAGGGTGAATATCAGGTGAGCACATCCAGACTTTAGTAAATCGAGAATAGAGAGGCAGTGAGGACAGTAGGTCAATCTCCACCATAAGGCCTGAGCGCTAAACCCTCACACACTACACTGATGCCACAGCTGTAGTGTTTAGGTTTGTCCAAAATTATTTTTTTAAAAAAACAAAAAAAAACAAGGAGGAATGGGTGCTCGGAATCGTCTTTAAAGAAACAAAAAACGTATTTCACAGTTTAATCTGCTGCTACGCTGATCACTACAGTGTTGGTTTCATTTTAACAAACTACTAAAAATCATAAAAAGACATAAATATCAGTAAATCCTGTGCAGTCATTTGACTAAAAAAAGCTCTGCCACAACATAGAGAGGGAAGAAGCTGCCACTTCCTCACTGATTTCTTCCCGTTGTAGGTCCGAACTATGGTAAAGTTATTCCGGAAAGTCTCACAAAAAAGGTGAATAAAAGCATCATAAAGTCCACATCAGAGCTCCTACACACTTGTGGGTCTGTGAATGTGAAGACTGGGATTGAACCACCGTGTTTGTCCTGTCAGCAGTTGACCCATAAAACATTCTCATATAATTAAAGGCATTTGATAAAACATGATGCTGTTTAATTTTCTACACTCTGCACACCAACAGCATGTCAAAGCTTCAGGGTGAGTTTACACATCATGAACCTACCAGACCAGCTTTGAAATTCTGCACCCTTTTCCTTCCCAGCATGTTCGTGACGAACCAGGCGAACGTGGGCGCGTACTGCCAGGCGTAGTAGAACAGGAGGAAGGGCTGCTGAGCGATCCACATTTCCTTGACACCGTTGGCAATTCCCACCAGCATTAGACGCACACAGCGACTCGTTGGCATCTTGTGCTCCTGGTTACCGACTGTGGCCACGGCCTTGTGTGATGGAAAGAAAACCGGTTACTGAAAACAAACCACTGAAGTAGCTGTTAGGTCCCACGTATCACATGAACCATCAGCTAATAGGATGCCTTACCCTGTTTAGATCCTCCGTGAAGGCATTGTTGACAATCTGCGACTGCACCGGCCCCGGACACACCGTGCTGATGAGTATTCTTGGATACTCGGTCAGCTCGGTTCGAAGGGAGTTAAAGAAACCCTGAGGACAGTTAGTTACAATCAGAATCACACAGGTGGGTCTGAAGCAGGGATCTCCAACTCCGGTCCTCCTGAGCTCCTGTCCTGCAGGTTTTAGATGTTACTGCAACACACCTGACTCACATTAATGGATCATTAACAGACTTGTGTAGAACTTGAGTCAGGTGTGTTGCAGTAACGTCTAAGACCTGCAGACAGTAGCTCACAAGGACCGGAGTTGGACATCCCTGCTCTAAAGATGTTTGATTTACACGTGGACCTAATGCAGACTAATCTGCCACTCTTCACCTGTAGAGCATGTTTGCTGGCGGAGTATCCGGTTGCCAGGGGCGCCCCGGCGATGCCGACAACGCTGCTGACGGTCACGATGCTGCCGGTGCCTCGCTGCGTCATGTGAGGCAGCACCTGCTTGGTTATAGAGACGGTCCCCAGGAAGTTGAGCTCCATCAGGGCCTGGTACACGTCAACGCTGGTCTCCAAGCACAGGGAGCGCTGGCTTCGGCCACCGTTGTTGATCAGGACATCGATCTGATCAGGCACGGAAAAGTGGACGGGATAAGTGTGTGGGAAAACAATACAGGTTTTTTTTTTTTTAAAGATATTTTTTGGCCTTTTGAGAGAGAAAGACAGGAAAGTGTAGAGAGAAGAACTTGCAGCAAAGGGTCATGAGCAGGACTCGAACCCATGACCACTGCATCAGGGACTGTAGGCCCTCTGCACAGGACACCAGCTCAACCAGGTGAGCTATAGCAGCGCCCCACAATAACAGTTTTAACTTTGACTTCTTTGCAATGAAAATGCACAAACAAAATGCTTTAATCAACGCTGTGTCTGCACGTAGCTATAATGAAAATGACTTGACTTGAATACAGCTTCCTTTAAATAACCAGGAGCTTAAATGTTGCAGTTTGACTGTCAACCAACTAAAAAGGTTGATGCTGTAATGAAAGTAAAAAGTAAGAAAGTGCTGAATTATAAAAGAGCAACAGCAGCAGTGGCCTTACATGCCCGAAGTACTGAATCACAGTTTTCGTTTTCTCCTCATGCGATGTCCTCTCCAGCAGATCAAGTGGAAGAACAAGAATATCCCCATCCTCGAGGTCGGAGGACTCTTGAAGAATAAACGACAAAAATAATTCAGCAGGTCACAACCGAGCGAATGGAAATGAAACCAATCCGGTAAGTCCAAGCAGGGGTTTATTTGTATAGATCATGCAGTGCTTTGCAAAAGAATGATAGTGTTTTGTTTTAAATTACCTAAACAGCGACGTTTCACTCTGGTGAGCTCGTCCTCACGGCGGGCAGACAGGACGAGACGTGAGCCGCACTTGGCCAGCTGGTAGGCCAGCTCCTCTCCGATGCCGCTGGAGGCTCCGGTGACCCAGACCACCAGGCCCTTCAGCTTAGCCTCTGGTCCACACAAATCACAAGGTAAGCATTTATTTGGTTACGTTATTTGACCCTTTGTGACCCGTTGGCTCATAATATCCTCTCAATTACTGCAAAAACAACTTTTTCACAGTATGACAAGTCAAAGCAGGAAAAACATCAGAATTAATAATAAATGAAGGTTTGCTGAATTCCATGTAGCTGCTTCGTCTTCAGGGTCACTGTCACGGCTCACTGGGACACTTCAGTAGAACGCAGCCATCAATATTATTATTATTATTATTATTATTAGTGACACGTGTTTTTCCTGCTATGATGTAGAAAAATGTCTGTTGTAAAAAAAGTTTGAACGCACAAGAGTTGTCTTACTGAGTAACTAAGTACATTTACTTCATGTACTTTTTATGGAACTTAAAAACTTTATTTTTTCCTCACATTTATTTACCACTTTTTTATATATTTATATTACTTCAAAGAATACAAGACACACAATGCACTGTTGTTACAAGTCAGCTGTTTGTTGCATCCTATATTCAGCATTTTTTTTTATTGTTTTTTTTTTTAGACGGATTTCTGATTAAACAAATTAATTTTAAAATGCACGAACAGCCTAATAACAGTGAAGGATGAATGTTGGGGGGGGGGAAACTAATTTAACACATGGAAAACTTTTTTTTTTTAAACTATCATGTTGCATCTAAGTTTTGCATTGGAGTTTGTGTTTTTCTAAATTCTGGTACTAGAATTGTCGTACATCCATTGATCAATCAGCAGCGGCTCTGTAAAGATCATATCAGTTAAAGCCGACACTATCTGACAGCGAGTTATTTTTTTATCTGAAATCCTCACTCGCTCTATTATTGTACAACAGCTTACACATTAATAAGGAAGTTGTTCTGCAGTAGAACTGTTTGCCATCCGTGCTCTTGCAGCACAACATACGTCAAAATAGAATCTGTGATGAATACACAAAAGAAAACGTATGTGGGGGTTTTACATCTAGTGAGGCTCCCTGTGTGTTGCCCTCAATAGTGGAGCACAATCTCCTTCTTATGACGCATTACACATCTACCTCAAGATATTCAATCAGAGTTACTTTTAAACTCCCTCTGGTTGCTGATTAAACCCAGAAAAACTCTACTTTGTGCAACAAAGTTACATGTTTAGAAGTTTTGTATCTGAAAATAATACCTTACTGCCTTAAAATAGGTCAGAAGATGTTACTCTACACCAGAGATCTCCAGCTCTGGTCCTCCTGAGCTGCTGTCCTGCAGGTTTTAGACGTTACTGCAACACACCTGACTCACATTAATGGATCAGACTTATGAAGAACTTGGCAACAAGCTGTTGGAGATCTCTGCTCTACACTGTTCTAACCTTTCTCTCCATGCACACTTGCTGCAGGTTGAGCACACCAGCTCACCAACGACTCTAAAACTACACCATTAATAGTTGCAATACTGGAGTAATTCAGCCATGTATGTCTGATCTGGATGAAACCATACTGCACGTGTGTACAGTCGTCCTCAGATGTGTTCATAGCCTCCCGTTAAAGAAGGAAATAAACAGCTGGAATAAGCTGAAATTGACAAAAATAATAATAAATAAAAATTTAATGAAAATCATGATGTTGCTTTTGAATTGTGGTTCAACAGAAATATATTTTTTTTAAAAACAAAATAAAATAAAACAAAACAAGCATGATGGGACCCATAAACTAACATTTAGTTGAACAACCCTTTAATCACTGCCATCAGGTGTTTCTGTAACTCTCATCAGACGTCTGCACCTGTTGACAGGTGTTCTGATTTCACTGCTCATCAGCACAGTGCTCTCATTTGTCCGGGATAGTTTTTTATTTTTTTTAATTATTCTTTTCAAACACAATACTTCACAAGTATTTCACTAAATTATAATTTTGCTAATTTTTATTTATTATTACTTTTTTTCAGTGTTTCAGTCTGTATTGCAGTTTCATGGTGGTAACGCTCAGCTAAAGCGGCTCATTTTGCTCTCTGTGTGTATTTAATAGGGCACAAAACCATAAAACAATAAAAACTTAATTAAGACATTAAACAGAAGCACCTTTGCTTTACACACACCTTTAGCAGACAGCATGTCGCTGTAGGATAATTGTGCTTTTTCTAGTTGTATTTGAAGACTTCATTTGCAAAACCAGATAACTTCATCTTCACAAACCTTCATTAACCCACTTTTCCATCATCAACCTGAGACAATATCAATCAATCTTTACTTATCTCTACTTTTGCCATTTCTACTGAGTTAAATCCACTGAACTTCAGTTTGAGCAAACAACAAAAAAACAAGTTTTCTGTAAAGGAGTTATCTGTTAATGCAAATGGACTCTTCAGCTGTTGGATGTGAACACATTTATGAGCCACAAGGTTTTAAGTTCACTGTCACACACATTAGAAGTTGGACCTCTGACCAGCTGACAGGAACACGTCACGCGTCTGCAGTGAGCTTCTTGACCACTAACAGGACCGGTCCGTGGAGCTCACCTGGCCTGTGTCCGACCAGAGTCGCCCACAGCAGCGTGAAGTCCGCATCCGCCACCACGAAACCCACCAAGTGCGCGAGGAGCCAGAGCGCCGCGACGCAGCAGAGCGCGGAGGCGACGCAGCAATCCATGTGGTGGACACCCACGGGCAGCAAAACTCGCTCACTAGTGTCGGAAGCTGCTGCAACAAAAAAACCTGCAACAACAGAAACGCTGCTGACAGATATGACGACACTTCCGCTACGGCGTTGTCAAAATAAAAGCTCAGCAAACGGATGCAAATAAATGAGAGGAAAAATAAATGAAGAGTTCATTTGCAAGAACAGATAACTCCATGTCCACAAACCTTCAGATCATTTTCCATCGTCTACCTGAGACATTATTATTCAGACTTAAGTCATCTCTATTGTTGTCATTTCTACTGAGTCAAATCCACTCAGCTTCAGCTCGATATGATCTCAAGCAAACAACAAAAAAAAAGAGTTTTCTGAAAACTTCTGAGAACTCTTCAGATGCAGGCCTGTCTAGCTGTTGATGTGCTTTAGCAGGTCATATTTACACTCTTTCTACATCATGCAGGGTTACCTATCTATCT